CTATTAATCAACTTCTAGCTGGTGTACGACCCACCTTTTCTCTATATATAGTTTTCTGTATTGTTATTAGTATCTTGTCCCCCTATTCACTTCCTGTAGTAACTTTCTTTTTCTCCTAATTTGGTTCATTCCAGCGGTTTTTCGCTCTTGTTGCTCCCAAATTGGTATATATGGCCTTATATTTGATTTAGTACCACTCTGATTTAAATACATGTTGTGCTGCTATCATCATGTTCATATCTCAAGCCAACTTTGGGGGTGCTGCTATAACAATTAATAATTTTTAATTTAAATTTTTATTTATTTATTTTATTTTATTTTTTTTTATTTTTTAAAATTTTATATGTTTTAGATAATTTCTCAAAAAACTATTAGTCGTACTCTTCGCAAAGCTAACCTGGTTTTACATATTGCCCATATAAAGCCTTTATTAATGATAAGACTAAAAAAGAGTGTAAAGATTGGGCAGAAAAGCATCTTAATTGGACAACTACCAACTGGAAGAATGTTCTTTGGTCAGATAAAAAGTATTTTACTTTAGTTCATTCTAATCCATATTAGCATATATGGAGAAGGCCAGGTGAAGAATTTAATGATGATTGTTTTGTTCCAGCTATCAAATCTAAAGAGATTATGATGTGGGATGTTTTTTTTGGTGGGGTCTTAGCCCTTTTATCTTTCTTTACGGTAGTGTCACAAGCGAATCCTATCGTAGAACGCTTATTTGTTATGCTATTTTGAAGCTTCAGGACCAATATCCCAATAGTAATAGAATATTTCAACATGACGGTGCCTCAGTTCATAGAGGCAATATTGTTAAAAACTATCTAGCTAATAAGTATATTAAAATATTTAAATGGCCTCCGTATAACCCAGACCTTAATCCTATTGAGAATCTTTGGTCTGAGATTGAAGAGAAGATTCAAAAATATATCATTCAAGACCCGGAAACCTTAATAAGCTTGAAAGAATAGTTAAAGAAGAATGGGAAGCATTGTCTCAAAATTATTTTAAATATCTTGTTAAAAGTGAAGTAGACTGTGTTAAAGAAGTCTATGATAATAATAGTGGTTATTCATATTATTAATTTTGAGTAGTAATTATGCTAAGAGCTTATTTGAATATATATTATAAATATTGTATGTATAAAGAATATTTGCTAAATTAGTATAATAAATATTTGCTAAGTGTTAAAATAACCTGTTT